TCTCGGAGACGTGTTCAATTCAATTGAAATAAGAGCCATTTGAATCAGTGCGTATATGCCAACGTAACACAACGTTGGTTGATTCCAACAGCATTTTTTCGCCTGGTCATGACGCTCAATTTGTTTGATTTTCGAACAGTGATTTGTGAAACGTACAGACGAGCGATGTCGTGAGGCAGGATCGGATTATTTGTTTACTAGTGCCGGCTTCTGCTGGCACGATTTTCGATACATTTCGTTGATTTATCTGCTGTGATGGTTTACAGAAATGTATAGTGAATCACACCAGCCGCTGATCACCATATAGTAACCATGTTTTTTTGTGGGTTTTCGCAATTGGGAAGTACCTGGATGGCTCATTGGTGTCCAATCACTGTCCTGAATGTTTCCTGTTGTTGTAGAGTATCCACTTTTCATCACACGTGACGATCCGATCCAAAATAGATCGTTTTTGAGATATGGAGCTATAGAAACACATGACATTGGAACGGACAAAACTTTCAAATCCTCATCGAGATTTTCCAAATTTTGAAAATATCTGTAGCGTAACGATACGATGAAAACGCTGAAAACTCTTTTGTATTACTGCTTGTGTCAGAGTTCGAAAACAGAAGAGTGATTAATTGGAAGCAATCGATACGAATATAATCATCTCAGTCGATTGACAAAAGGGTCAACATGTTATAATGATTTCATTTTACAGATATATCTGGGTTGATGTTGAACGACTACAATCGATGGCCAGCCGAACCATGAGTAATTGAATTAGTCCTGAATACATTTCATTCTATTCATATTGATATACAGGGCGTCTATAATTCCAGTTTCTTTGCTTGGTTCTTCTGATATTGGCAAATGTGAAGTACTAGTGAATGATATCAGCCCCTTTCGTTTTCGGTTTAAAAGGGTAAAAGCAAAAATTTTGAATTTGAAAGCTTTCAATACAGTACGAATGTCAATAGACCGAAACATGGCAATATATATGAATTTGAAATTTCAAATAATATTGATAATTATAATAATATATGCGGTCTCGGCCTATATCCATCGACATAAAGCGGCCCTTAGAGTGCTATATTACCATCTACGGCACTCTTACGGTATTGACACTGGTCCCTACGCTCCTGGGGATATTGAATCTGTTGTGGGGAACGAGAAGTGCCGAATTTATCAGAATGATTCGTTTCCCACCCTTAGGCTCATACAAGCTGATAAGCCTGATGTATTTCTTCTCGACCACCAGAACAAGACGATATTTTTCGTGGAGTTTTCAGCTTCTGGCTGACGAATATCGTCCGAAAATTGTCATTTTTTCCGAGCTGGTGCATTACATTTTTTATACTAAAATTAACATCGGAAGTCCTAGATGGGCCTATGTGGAATGAAAATGTGATCACAAGTTGGACTGCTGATGTTAGTCAAATGAAGGCATTCTATCTTGAACTCTGCAATTTCCATCTGTTCGTTGAACAAACCATCTTCAACAATTGGTGCACATTAATTCGAAGGATGAAATATTACGTTACCATGTTAACTTTCCGCTACTTCTCATTGAAGCATCTTCATAATCTCAAAAGTTCACGAACCAAATTTCTTGCAATATCCATTCGAAATACTGTTGCAGATGTTGTTCATAACTGTGAGGTTTGGAAAAGTCCCTTCTTCATTTGCAGTATTATTCAGAAGAGTTTTGATGAAAATACTTTTTCTACACCAGAGCTTCAGAACTCTCTCGACGTACGATTTGCTGATCAACTTTGCCTCATGAGGATATGATGAAAGTTTTATCATACCCTGATGATGCTGATTCTGTTAACGAAACCCTCATCGAAAGTCATTGTTCTGGTGTGGGAAGAACACATTCTTGAAGATGAGAAAAGATGAGTATATTCAAACATTGGTTATGAACGTTCGGAGCCTTTTCGTTTCCTGTCTGTATTAATGCATCAAGATTTAAAAGTGAAGTGCAAAATTTCGTAATAATCTATTTTGAATTAACCCCAAGAAGTTTTTTCTTTCGTTTGGTTCAGAGTATTATTTTTATATTTTAGGCGATCCAGTTTTGAATATACTGGTAGAGATTTCATTAATCGTCTACACTCAAATTAAGCCTCAACATATGTCGCAGAAATTGAGAAATAAAAAGAATTAGCGAAGGAAAAGCTGTGTATACCTTAAACTTTGTTCAATTCTGAAGGCGGAGGCAGATTTTAGCCTTCGAAACGTTAAGATTGTGGAAGGTAAAAATACCTAATAAAGAGGGTCAAGAAAAATATTCAGCATGTTCCATAGTTTGCAGCTCTCCAAATTCAATGTCGAATTTAGAAAATGTGTTCATATATTTTAAGTGAATGAAAAATTTTGACGAATGTACTGCCAGCCCATGCTGAATTCTCAGAGTTACAAAAATGTATGATTTTTATTATCCTATTTTCATGATCTGATAGTTTGGCTTTTATATATTCAAATATTAACTACTACTAGAATCTTTCCTCACCAATCGTCGTACACACAAATGGAAAGGAAGCTAGCAAAAATTGTCATTTTTACCGAGCTGGTGCATTACATTTTTTATATTGAAATTAACATCAGAAGTCCTAGATGGGCCTATGTGGAATGAAAATGTGATCACAAGTTGGACTGCTGATGTTAGTCAAATGAAGGCATTCTGTCTTGAACTCTGCAATTTCCATCTCTTCCTTGAACAAACCATCTTCAACAATTGGTGCACATTAATTCGATGGATGAAATATTACGTTACCATGTTAACTTTCCGCTACTTCTCATTGAAGCATCTTCATAATCTCAAAAGTTCACGAACCAAATTTCTTGTAATATCCATTCGAAATACTGTTGCGGATGTTGTTCATAACTGTGAGGTTTGGAAAAGTCCCTTCTTCATTTGCAGTATTATTCAGAAGAGTTTTGATGAAAATACGTTTTCTACACCAGAACTTCAGAACTCTCTCGACGTACGATTTGCTGATCAACTTTGCCTCATGAGGATATGATGAAAGTTTTATCATATCCTGATGATGCTGATTCTGTTAACGAAACCCTCATCGAAAGTCATTGTTCTGGTGTGGGAAGAACACATTCTTGAAGATGAGGAAAGATGTGTATATTCAAACATTGGTTATGAACGTTCGGAGCCTTTTCGTTTCCTGTCTCTATTAATGCATCAAGTTTTAAAAGGGAAGTGCAAAATTTCGTAATAATCGTAACTCAAATCTATTTTGAACTAACCCCAAGAAGTTTTTTCTTTCGTTTGGTTCAGAGTATTATTTTTATATTTTAGGCGATCCAGTTTTGAATATACTGGTAGAGATTTCATTAACATCGACTTGAAAACTATTCTTATAAAGAATTGCCCATAGCTTCCTCGCAGATTCATAACAAAATTCAATACTGAGTTTTCATCTGGATTATAAAACACTTGCTCATCTGAACTAGAAAATCACTTTCGTATATTTGGACTACAAAATCACTTTTGCCGAGAAACCTTCCACTACCTTCCAATCGTTACGTAGTAGTATAAATAACAGAAATCCTTCATGAGTTTGAAACTTTCGTGGTAGAATAGATTGCATTTGTACAGATAAAAATGTATGTTATGAGTGACTCCAATATAGTTCTTCTCATGACTTCAATTCCGTGTCAGATGTGTGCTGTACAATTTACAATTTGAAAAAAAAGTAATATCTGTGTTATTCAATATTCACAATCGAATGTAGCTCTTCCAGATATTTCCTGTACAGATTTGTATCCTAAAGAATCTAATTGTTCCTTTATCACGATGTTCTTCACCGTTTATATATGTGAAGGCTCAAAAACCAAAGAGGTTTATTATAATATAAAAATGTTGAATATATGCTACCAAATTCTTGTAATAGTATTACATCGGTATCGGTAATAGAGTGACATCAATAGCAAGTCATATTCTCATTGAATATTCACATATTCCTTGGCATAGATGTTTGAATTTTTTTTTCACTGTCAATGAACAGTGCTGAAACTATCTGAAATTTTANAACTATTCGTGCCAGACACAAATTGTCAAATATCCAAAGAATTGAGTTATCATCACTTTGGGATATTGATTCATCAATAATTTCATGATATTAAATAAATTGTATTCAAGGAACCTGAAATGGTTTCACTGACATTTGAATAGTTGAATTAACGACTCGTTTGGAGATTCAATGACGATAATTCCATAACCGTAAAGAGTCCAACTAATGGTTTTCTGATATTGTGAACGTTTTTGTCCATATTGCCATGAACAATACAATTTTGTTAACAAACATTGCATTGAGTCAAATCGTGTTTTGGGTTGTTATTAGTCAAGATGTTGCAAAGACTGGACATTTTGTTTTTCCTGCCTTCATTCTGTTTTAGCATCGTTTGCGTTTTCATTTCAAAACTCGGGAACATACATGCAAAAGGAAAAACCTCAACGTCGTTCCTCAGTTGAGGAACAACCTGAGATTGGTCAATGGACACTTTTCGAATAATATTTGAAAATGTCACTATCCGTTCTTCTTTATTTCGTTGCTATTATTGGAAATGAAACGTTTATAGACAACTAGGGTAACTGAAACATTTCGTACATTGCATCACCTTCTTTATATGCCGCAGTTGTACGAAACTTCAGACACATAAACATAATACGACCTTTCACACAGTTATATTCCGCTGTGAAAATTCACTCTATCTTATGTTAATTTTTCAGAAATGACAGAAATCATTTTTGAACCATATTATACTCATATGGTGTTTTGAAATTAAAGAAATTCATCNTAATACTAGTATTTTTCGTTCGTTATTATTTTAAACTTATTTAAAAAAAATATTTTCAACTTTTTAGTTCCATGTTTTTTGAAAGCGTGTTTTTCAGTTTATTAAATTATATTCCCGAAAAGTTCACTGGTTTCTCAACAATGTATATCTCACTTTAGTATTATAATACTATATTTATGATTTTCAATTTTTTATTTCAGCGAAGCTTTCATGTTTAAACTGCTGCAGTTGGGAATTTTCATCTTCGTGCGACGGTAAGTGCATTTTTTTTCTATTTACGAACTGGCCCTGTGAACTTCGTGTCAAATCAGAATATACCAACGAGACTAGTGTTGCCAGATCATTTATATGCTTAGCAGCAGAAAAACAGTACATCGATACGGAAAGAGTTGAAATAAATACATATCTTTCACATACATGATAATTTAAACTTTCTACAATCATTTAGTAATCATTAATGAAAGTAAACTCAGTGATCAGTAGAACTTTCGACTAGTAGAACAGAAACAACCCTGAACACGGCGCTCCTCTCATGTGATTTTTTCTTCTGCAGAGGATTGATTCGCAATATTCTGCAGTCTGAGGCCTCTCTTCACTGGAAGTGAAAGGCTGCGAACTGCGAAGCAACAAATTCGTGCGAACGCCGTTCGTACGAAATCGTGCGATGCACATCTTCCATTGCTCAGTTTTCGTCCGGATTCGTAGTAGTTGAGATGGAACGGGTTTTTTAATCATTCAAAAATTGTTCGCTTTGGAATTATCACTTTTGTTTCATCGTCGTATCAGGCACAGGCGGTATCGACGAAGGCGGGAAATGTGGGTGAATCCCAAATAAAGGAGTTTGGTGAATTTTCTAATTCGTAACATGATCTTCAAATTGACGATGACCACCACTTTTCTTATTTTCGAATGAGAAAAAACACATTTCACTACATGATTGCACTAGATCGCAATCAAATCCCAGCAGGACGGGAGCGATTCGCAATTCGCACTTATTCGGACGTAAACTGACGAACGATGTGGGCCAAGTGGACGCGGTCTCCTACCGATCCGTGTGTTTGGATAGTTCGTGCGATGTCGTGCGAATTCTGACGAATTGTTTTCGCAACTTATCGCAGCTTTCCGCTTCCAGTGGACGAGATGCCTAACTGAATTACAGTTTAGTTGTGAAAGATTTTTGATGTCAACCATTCTCATAGAGAAAACTTTAATGGAGTCTAATCGGGGGATATGGATGGACATACTGTAGAATCTCTCAAACCACCAACATTGAAGTTATTATATATATCAAATATCGCACTGGTACTATACAATGAAGAATGTAATTTTGTTGAAAAACTACCCCATTTCTCCGTGGAGGATCTAACTGGTTGGCTTGCTAAATGCTTGGCATTACTTGGTTATTTGTAAAGTTAAAATATTCTACTCCATTCAGATTTGTTTCCAAAAAAATGGTATTATAAAACAGTTAGCCAAAATTCTTGCCCAAACATTTGAATTTTTGAAGATATTGGATGCGAATTTCGCATGCATCACATCGTTTCAGTATCGGAAATTTTGACGGTTGATTCCAGAAACATCTGGTGTACTTCAAACCTAGAATACAGTCGACGAGTTCCGAAAGAATCTCACAAAATTCAGCTCTTTTGTCGAAATAATCTTCGTTCAATTCATGAATCATTTTCATTTCAATTGCACTAAAAGTATGAACATAGGTATACTCACAATAAAAGATCAATTTAAATATTTTAGATCGATAGAACAGGTAAGGAAATGTGAGAGGTGAAATTTTCAGAAAAATCATGCTTTGCGTTTTCCAGAAACGTCTAACCTACCATCGACCGTGAGTCACGCTGTATAATGAACTACATCGAATTGCTTGAAAATGTATGTATTAGCTTTTCAAAGTAGGTGAAGATAGGTTTGGGATGACAATTTGATTGAATATGTCCCGATTGCTCCAGAAAGTACTGAAATTATGAATATTATCATTTTACCAACTGTAGTTGATTATAAATCATATTTTACAATACAATATAATTCATTGTTTTATATAATGACTAGTGAAAGTTAGTGAACTTGCTAGAATTTCTTTTATATATGTACATACGTAGTTTTCGTTTGCCGTTTACTGACAATTGTTGCACAGAAATATTAGCTGTTTTTGTGACACAATATAATACTTCATAACAGATATATACTACTGCAATTGAAAATGAAAAAAATGGTTTTGTACTATCCTACAATATTTGCTTCAGTATTCTACAAATTGAAAATCACAAAATTAACACAGATATTTGAAGAAATACAGTACATCCTATTTCAGTCCATTCGCCAAAAATGAAGCAACAGAATTCCAGAAACTTCTCAAAATTCGTACTGAAAATTCACTTTTTGTTTGTATGTACTTCTGTTCAAAAAAAATATGTTTTTCAATTAACCAGCTGTCGCACCCCTACGAACGACAACCCTCAGAATTAGAAACGTGTGCGAGCTAAGGGTTAACGAGGTCTTACCTTTCAACGTGTGATTCCTAACACGTGTGATCCTGCTAAAATACATCTTGAAAATTGATAATTGACTTGTTAGCCCATAATATGCTTCTTCGCTTATACTGTTGGTGAGCAATTCTTATTGTTAATGAATATTGTTAGTGCCTTCAGTAGCTTCCTACCTTTATTCTCTTGTACGTATTTATGCAGCTGAATACCTTTCTCCGCCATGTTGCTTGGAGTAAACCAAAAAACAAAGAAACTCTGTGTTTTTGCTTTTTCAACGATAATTTCAAACTACTCAATCTTTCTCTAATTTTCAGATTCAATAATGTAATCATCCCTTTATTTTCCCAATAATTGTTTCGTACATATCCCTAGCTTGGTGAAATTCTGGAACAAATACGCCACAATCCTTATGTAGAGTTATTAGACTTCTCTAATCTCTTTAGAACGTGTCGTACTCTAATAACTTCTGTTCTCTGTTCCGGGAAATGTACACCATTTTTCCACGAGGGTTTATCACTCACGGTAGAGCGGGCGCACCGCTGCAACTCACTGTTTTCAGGAGTTTCCTCCGTTTTAGGAGTTCAGTACGCGCTGAAACTTCGTTCGAGCGACAACTCTTCAGTCATAAATCGGGGTTGAAGTTTACGTTATATAACGTAGGTTGATCCTTGTAGGATGGAGTAGAACGATAAGAGGTAGGTATTAGAAATTGTTATATTTTTGACTTGGTTTTTTCCTGAAGGGCAAACATTTCGAAATGCACTGGCCTGATCCCTCTATTGCTATTTCGATTAGAGTCATAAGTTTGGTTTATTCAGACAAAAGTTGCCAATATGGATGAACACTAGATTTTTTTCAGATAGGCACTGATATCAATGGTTGTTTTTGACTGCAACGTTTCATTCAATAAATTACATCATCAACTTTTTTTTAAAATACGGATATCTAGTATTTTCAATAAACTTCATTAATAAGTATCGTAACCAATTCAGCCATGTATTATAACTCATATACAAATATACACACAACATCAAAAGTCGTGTACCTATCAGTAATTTTGAATTTTATTTGATTCAAATTAGATTGTTATTGAACTATGATGATTTCCGAATGTATTTTTCCGCTAAAGTACACTTCTAGGAAATTTAAATAATAGCAAAAGCAACATGAGAAAAAGATTTTGATGTTTATGTAAAATAATTTAAAACATAACATTTGTTTATCCTCACTCAACATTAATACAACTGTGCGTCGAAACAATCAAGCAATTGTTTTTTTCTTAGCAATACTGTTCCATTCCTNAATGAACTTTCAGTATATCATTGACTATGAAAAAAATACTGTGACAGCGAAACATGTTGTGATATATTTTTGAAGATCAAATCGTAAGGTGTAGTTTATGGAATTCCTATGGATCTTCAATAAGTAGATACTTGCCGAATCAATCAGAAAAAAGTTATGCCAACAATGAAACGAAACCAAAAGACATCAGTTCTACAAAACTGCTTCTTCCTGATGATGAATTCAGAAAATTCGTGTTCAAGGATTTGTTCTTGTAACCACTGTGCGAGAATTAAAAACAAAAGTTGAAAATAGTATATGAACTCCAACAGAATTCTGGAATTGATACAATTCGGGTTGTAATGAAGTTTATATGAAGCTGATACTGGCTGCCAGGACCACAGAAGTACTCGTAATCTGTGCAGTTCAATAAGAAGTAATTAATATTATCGTCACTGGAAACTTCTTCATCAATTATTTTATCATAATCGCCACGCATTAACATTTTCTCCTTTTGTTTCAGCTTACTTCTTTCCTATTTCTTTTTGATTTCTCCAAGCATGAGAAGTAATAATGAAAGGTATATTTTTTTTATTTTCCGCTGCTTGGTTTCTGATCTGGAAATAATGAGGCTTTTTCGAATGTTGTGGAAACATTATCTATTATTTGACTGGATGATATGCTTGGTTCATTATCTGACTTTTTTATCTCTTCATGAGAAGAATTTTTTGTTACTCTTTTTTTCTATATTTGTGGGGTGGTAAAATGTCCCGGTGGTGTATCATTGTCTTTATTTATAACGTTTTCATCATATTCTCGATCATTCATCCCATGTCTCCGTTCCAGTTTTATATTATTCCTCAAACATGTTTTGAATTGGTTTTTTTATTCTCTTCAACCTTTGTTTTAATGTATTCCAATAAATTCTCTCGCCCGATTTCTGTTTTCTGGGGCACAGTTATTTTCTCGCAAATATAACATCGTCTACTTCAAATGGGTAAAAGCTACAGTCCCGAAACCAGTACTGTTAATTTTTTGGGCTCAGATACATTTTCATTTTCTCAACCAGCTTTTGATTTGTCCTTTTGTGACATTTTCCCTGCTCCACGTCGAATATCGGCTTATTCTTGAACCTATTTCAGTATCTATTTGAAAATAATATCGCTGGGTCTATTATCATTTTGGAATGATTTTTCTTTTTTTTTTGTTGTTTCCTAAGGTTTCCCTTCCAGAGAAATGTCTTTCAGACAATTTCAAAATCAGTTAACTTAAATATGTTCTTTATCGGAACTGAGGTAGTAGGTGAACCAGGAAAACACACTACAGACAAATTTCACTGCTTTTCATTTCATTCCAGTACATTTTTGCTCTACATATTACCATTATCCTATTATTACCAGTCAATTTTCCTGTTATTGACACCCCGTTAGGCTTACATTTCTTTGATGAAATTCATATTGCCGGCATGAGAG